TTCACTTGTGTTTCACATGAATTGTCTTGATGAGTGTAAGATGTGAAGCTTAAAAGAATTATTTTCTCTTCTCATCAATATTCAAATTCTGTATAACCAAACAAATATTTGAATCCTCATTAACCAATAAACCTGCTATCCCACTCAGGTATGCAAGCATTATCTGCTTCTAGTATTCCCAAGGGCAGTTGATTCCATAAATTTATCAGGCTCAGTGTGAAGGATTTAATCTCAACTGATTGTTTGCTTTCCTTTTTCCTAACTCTAGTCTACAGCTTTCATTGCAAGGGGGTTTGAGTATAGGAGGAAGGTCGTCTTACTGCAACTGCTTTGGTCAGACCACACCTGGTGTACAGTGTGCAGTTTTGGCCTCCATACCTAAGGAAATACATAATTGTCACAAAAGTAGTACAGCAAAGGTTCCCTAGGCTGGTTCTGGGGATAAAGTCAGAAATCACACAACATCAGGTTATAATCCAACAGGTTTATTTGAAATCACACAAGCATTGCATCTGACGAGGGGGTTGCACTCTGAAAGCTTGTGTGATTTCAAGTAAACCTGTCGGACCATATCCTGGTGTCGTGTGATTTCGGACTTTGTCCACCTTAGTCCAACACCAGCACCTCCACATCATGATTATTGGGATGGCAGGTTTGTCCAATGGAGAGAAATTGGTTTGATTGGGTCTATTTTCATTTAAGTTTAGAAAGAATGAGAAGATCTCACTGAAATGCTTAAAATTCTGACAGCAGGTATAATTTTTTTTCCTGGCTGGAAGGTCCAGAACTGTGGGTCACAATTTCAGAACCTGCAGAAGACCATTTCAGACCGAGAGGCGGAGAAATTTCTCCATTCAGAGAGTGCTGAACCTGTGGAATTCTCTACCAAAGAGTGTTGTGAAGGTGAAGTCACTGAATATATTTAAGAAATAAATAAATGTCTTGAAGTTAATGGTGTCTTGGGGTATAGGAGAGAGAATGGGAGAATGCTGTTGAGATAGAGGATCAGCCATGATTACGTTGAATGGTGAAGCAGGGTTGATGGGCCAAATCACTTAGTCCTGCTCCTATGTTTCTATAGTGCCTGGTCAGAGTTTGTGTCGAGCAATTCATGAGGATTCCGTTTGGATAAAGTTACTAGCATGCCTCAACTTAACCAAAGTACAGTTTGCGGTAATAGTGAATTACAAATTACCAAGCAGATATTGCTATCATTGGAGTTATTTGCCCCTTTTGCATAAATTGTGCAACAAAATGCAAAGTATCCTTCATGGTTTACAGTCTTAGTATAATTGCCATATGGCCAAATTAATTTGCTGTTGAAGAATTATTGATATTTTAAACAAAATAGATACACAAATTTCCATAAAACTTTACAAGGTCCAGGTCCTTCCATCAGGGCACTAAACCTAGACAGATAACGACCATGTATATGGAAACCTTTTAGCAGATGACCAGCAACAAACTGAACTGTTTTTGGAAGTCACTGAGTGTCTTGTGTAATCAGTGGGATAGATAACACCTCTACTTCAACAATAGAGTCCCATTTCTATATCAAAAGTGGCATAATGGAAAGAAAGAAAGAAAGAAAACGTGACAGTATCACTGAACCAGTTGTTTATTCTCCTGCTTCTGCTACAAAAGTTTACTGCGATAAAAGACTTCATTCACATGATGTCAAGATCACAAACCTGAGAACCAACTACAGGCATGTCATACATTCCATCAAAAGAACAAAGCGCACACATCTCCATTTTCCATTAAATTGATATTAGATAGTAGGACATGATTTTTGCACAGTCTAGTCAGTACCTATTACCCGATCATCTGTAATCCCTAACAATTCTGTCTAAATATAGGTCAATCAACACCCGGTACACAAAATTTACAAGTTCTTCCTTCATTAGAAACAATGTTCCAAGATGTTATTGCCTCCATTTTCCTAAATTAAAAGGATTACATAGGATTTATAACTGGTCCGTGCCTATGTTTAAGGGTTACTAGAGTCTCCTACCCTCTGTTCTTAGCTAAATCTATCATTAATTTCTACCCCTTTCTCCCTCATTTGCTTGTCAAACTTTCTGCTTGTCAAACAGCCACACCCAACGATAATGAGCACCACATTGTCAATGTCTAGGTCAAGAATTTGCTCCTGAACTCCCCATTGGATTTTTTGATGACTATTGTGTACTGATGACCTCTAGCTCTGCCGAAGAGGAATCACTCTCTCTGTATCAACTCGACCAGAATCATCATTAATTTCAAATACCTCTTAGATCACCCCTCAACCTTCCTTTCTCAAGACAAGACAGCCTTTCCATATGTGTGAACACTCACATCTCTAGTATCATCCTTTCAAATCTTATTTTTATTCATTCGACGGATGCAGGCATCGCTGGCTAGAACAGCATTTATTGCCCAGAGGACAGTTAAGAATCACCCACTTGACTGTGGGTCAAGAGTCACATGTAGGCCAGGCCAGATGAGGACGACCGTTTCCTTCCCTAAAGGACATTAGTGAACCAGATGGGTGTTTCTGACAATTGACAATGGATTTGAAGTCATCATTAGATTCTTAATTCCAGACTTTTTTTTATTGAATTCAAATTCCAACAACTACCATGGCAGGATTCGAACCCACGTCCCTCAACATTACCTAGGTCTACCATTATACCATTAGGCTACTGCCTCCCCTCTTTGCATCCTCTTTCTTTACTATAGTGACCAGGACTGTACATGATACTCTTAAACCTGGTCTAACCAAGGATTGATATAGGTTTGGTATTATTTCCCTATTTTTCAAACTCTACATTATCAAATTTGCTGTTACCTCTTTTTACACAAAATGTTTAACTGATGATGAATAAATTATGTTTCAATAAGCAGCTTTAAAGCTGATTAACACCACAATTATATTTGAATACTGCATCGCATAAGAATCAACATGGTTAAGCAATGCCTTTCTAATTTTTAACTGTGGTTGATCAATCTAATTATAACCAATAATGTTGATACAGCTTAAGGGCACATAATTTCTAACCAACTTGCTGCTAGTAAAGTTCCTTTCTTTCTAAAATAAAAAGTGTCTGTATTGTCAGCCCTTTGCTTATCAGCCCACTATAGTCTGTCTAAATGCTTCATCCCATGGAGGTAAAGAAGAAATAAAATCTGCTTTGCTATGTACTGTACCCCTTGACTGTATTAGAATAAAAACTACAAACCTACCCCACTGAGCATGGCAACCACATGAAGCAGCACAGCATGTACATTGAACCTGAACTCAGAGTGACAGTGCTGCACTTTAACGCACAGGAACCAAGAAAGGTTTCAACAGGAGCAGAGCTGCTGATAAATTGTGGATATAAAATTTAAACCCACTTACTAAGCAGTAGAAGATGCATGTTAAACAGTAAAACCTTTGAGGAAAAATCAATCCATGTTATTATTGTTTTTAGTTACAGAGCAAATCTACATTTGGAGGTCTCACTGACCAACTGGAGTCGGGGACAGGATAATGCCCGCCTAGTTGGGAAAAGATAAACAAGGGAATTAGAACTGAGAGAATGAAAATAACTTAAAATCAGGGGAGGAGGAATAAATAAAGCTCAATTTCACAACCATCTCTTTTAAATAAGACAGAAAGCCATGCAATGCAGCTCTGCATTCCTCAGCTAATATAAACCTCCAGCTAAACTTCTCTCCATCTTGCTGTTACTCCTCCCCCCACTGCCATGTACACACACACACACACATACATACGCACACATAAATATAAATAAAAGTTGAAATTGTAAATCCATTTTGGCAGAACAGAAATGAGTCAAAAGCCTCTCTAATAACACAGTACTTAGGTCAAAATACAGTAAAAACCTGAACAAATAGCTGCACTTCAGCAGGCAAGACACACATTACATTACTCCAGTTAAAACAAACATACCATTAATAAGTAAATATGAGAATGTCCCAATTAATGTAGGACCCATCAAATGCACACAAGTAAAATTAGGCAGTATAATTTACTATGCAATGAGCTGTCAAAACAGATTAAGGACAATGAAAGTCATGAACAATACAATTTTCTCTTTTTAATGCACATGCTTTTGTACAATCCTTTCTGACAACTGCATTAGTTTTTCAGACAGCTATATTTGAATCACTATTATTGACTGATTAGCAGGCTTATCTGAAATGTATGAGACTGATTGATCTATGCTGGTGGTAATGCTTAGAATACAGTGCTTGCTATTACAAATATCCCTGATTAAACCTTGATACTTACCTTAAACGTATTTCTCACTCTTTTCTCTCAAGGTCAAGCCAAATCTGCAATATCAAACACTGAAGACTCTAATCCCTCCTAACCTACTTTGAAAGAGTTTTCAAAATGGATTTTTCTCAAATTAGCCATGTCTAGGCATTGACAATAGTCAAAATTGTCTGTGGTTGCATTTACCAATTATATTAAAATACTGTTAACTGTGGGCTTGATTTCAGAATGCAATGATACTGATGATCAATCAAACTTTTTTTGCATGCAGGGGTTGGGGGAAAGATACTAGATGAAAGTAGAATGTTGGTCAAGTCAGCATGAGTACTTCAGAAGGTCAAAATGGGTGATTAGCCATGAAACTAAATTCTATCTATCAAGCTAATCTGGCAAGAGAGCAAATTATTTCTCAGTTTACAGTGATATATAGATGTTAATTTGGAAAATCCTAAACTAGATCAAACATGATATTTTCAAAAGATTTGCAGTTAATCATTGCAGTCAAAGTGAGAAATACTGATACTCGGAAAATAAATTCTTTGCTACGTTAGGCAATCCTTTTAAGGAGCAAATGCTTTAAGGGGGGCAAATTTTCTGAAGAAGGGTCCAGACCCAAAATGTCAGCTTTCCTGCTCCTCTGATGCTGCCTGGCCTGCTGTGTTCATCCAGCTCTACACCTTGTTATCTCAGACTCCAGCATCAGCAGTTCCTACTATCTCTGACCCTTAGCTCAGGCTCCATAGCTCAGAGGTTAGAGTGCTGGTCTTGTAAACCAGTAGTCATGAGTTTGAGTCTCATTGGGGCCTTTGAAGAGCCTCATATTCCTGCTTCTTTCAACTGTAAAAGGAGCTATTTATTTTTCTAGGGCTCCCTTTTGTGGTGTAAAGGTAGTGTCCCTACCCCCCAAAACCATGAGGCCAGGTTCAAGTCCCACTTGCTCCAGAGGTGTGTAATAACATCTCGAACAGGTTGATCAGAAAAAGGCTCTAGGTGACCCCTAAAGGAACAGTGACATCGCTCATACCTTTCAAAGTATTTATAAAAAGTTTTGAGTACGTGATTTATATTCTAGATGTCACACTATAAATTTCAAGAGGAAAAAAAATTACAGAAAAATATGTTGCATCCTTTCAACTTGGTGATGGAAATTTCCACTCACCAATCATAAATGAACAGCGATTTATGTCTAACTGTTGTTGGAGCCTAGTTAAAATATTCTCTTTGAAAAATACCTGATCTGTTGCCTTAAAGGAACAGCTGAGAGATAACTGGACACCGCAATCATGTTTTGTACCCTTAGCAACGCCATAGGACATCAGCAAGTAGTCTTAAAATATTTTGTCCTTATATACAATCTCAGCCTGAGATGGGAGACAACAAACCTGCGCTCAAGGCAGGAGCTTTGTTATTGAATTAGCTGTTGGATGTAGAAGAACAGCCAAACACAACAATTTAAATCTCTGTCAACTTATAATACAGTATGTTGACACTCTATGCTATCACCAGTTACATCTCTTTTAAGCACCTTGAGACAATGTTCTACATTAAAAGATTCTGTGCATTTGCAAGCTTTTGCCATCTATCCATTTACCTTCCAATGTATTACTACTTCAGAGGCAAATTTAATATGATAAAGATAATGTTACCATTAACCTCTCTGAATAACAGTGCAACGATCATCGAGGCACCAAATTTCCTTAGCTGAACCTAACATTTTTTTTAAGGGTATGCTGCAAGAAAATAATACAAGTTTTAAGGATGAATCTTCCAAATTTAACTCAGGGACAAAGTGGATTTTTACATACAACGCGTAAAAAAAAAGCTCTGATGCTCGCAGGGATTTTGGAACCAAGAATCGTAACCTCTAATTGATGTGGATGTAGAAAAAGCTTAATTAACTTGGACCACAGCATTATTTTTGTATTCTGCACAGCAAACCAACTGTGCATGGCAAATAGCAAGAAAGCTATTTTTTAAATTCAATGCGAAGGTAAATTATTTTAGGGAATGTCACTTGCTGGAGTTACGTCATATTTAAAATTGATCAAATTATGGCTCAGCTTTATCCTCTCTAATACGGCAAAATGTTTTATAAATGCAGAAAACCAAATGATGTGAAAGAAAATGGGAGGAACCTGTCAGATTCAATATAGGCATGAAGCCAGGAGGAGGGAAGGGCAGTAGAAAAATTCAGCTGTCATCATGCTCTCTAAGAGCATTGAAAAGTCAATACCATAGACACGAACACAAAGTGTCAGCTATTTGGAGTTTTAACAAAAAAACTTGAATGGGTCAGCGGGTCTTCCTGTAACGAGTGGGTCAGCGGGTCTCCTGGTACTGGGTAGGTGGACGCGCTTGCATTGATGGATCAATAAATTTGCCTGGATTGATGATATGTTTCAATTTACTGAATTCATTAATAAGCTTGCCTCTACTGTCAGCTCACAATGTTCACATTTGTGTTATCATTTCCAAGGATTGTCTTGAATTTTCTTTAGATTATTGATTCATGAATGGACTAGCTGCCTAGTAAGATAATCAGTATATCATTGTAACCCCTGGTTTAATATGCCTCTATCTAGCATCCTAAGTGTATTTTCCAGATGACCAGAGACCAGAGGCTCTTTACTGAGAGTAGCCTGCAGCAGCCACATTTTCCCCCCGTGCCACTTAAATTGTGTATTAAACAGTGCAAGCCACAGACCCACTTTTACCAGCAGCAACCAGGCTGGCAATATGCATACGCCATTTCCACTCCTCCCACAGCCTTCCCAATAGGAGGCTCCTTGAGCACCTGTACCGCCATGTGGGCAGGTGAGTGTTTACCTGCATCTACCTGGGAAACACCTTGGTGAATGAGCTGAGTGTTGTACAGCGCTTTTAAATATCCTAACATTCAAGGCTATGGGCCTACTGCAAGAAAGTGGGACTGGTATAGGTAGTAGTGTACTTTTGGCAAAACAAAGTTGATGGGCCAAAGGGCCTCTTCTACAGAGCAGGCAGCCCACGGCAGGGGCAGCAGCAGGAGTAGGAACAGGCTGCAAGTCAACGAGATCAGGCAGTCTGGGGTGCGGGCGAGGTTGAGCCCTTGAGGAGTATGAGCCCAACATGGCCAGATGCTTATGGGCTGTGGGTTTTGAACTGTTGACTGTCCAACTGGAATGTCACTGTCAAGGACTGTACCAATTTATAGCAAAATCTAATGTAAAGCACTTGATGTATTCGAGTTCCAAAGGATGAGAGTTACCACAGTAATTATTTGCACACAACAAAGAATGCCAGCAAATTAGATAAGAGCTACAGGTATGCCATCAAAGAAGCAAGAAAGCTTTCTCCCATCTTCCCAAGATAAAGAAAGTGATTTTTGAAAACTTTGCTGCTGCTTAAAAAAAAATAAATCAACTAGTTAAGAGATGTAAAGAAAGAGTGACCAAAGAGTAAAAGGTTGACCTTCTAATTGAATGTCAGAAAAGGTCACAAAGGTGAACATCAAAGAATCCATTTGAAAAACAAGAAGCCCAATGCCATGACGAACATTCTTCCCTCACAATGACCCAAAAAAGAGACAAATGGAGATTTATCTTGTTCTGTTTGTGGGAGATTGCTCTGTTCAAATTATATTATACGGCAACAGCAGTACAATATGGTGACACAGGTGTAAACTGGGTGACACCTCAAAGTAATTAATTGGTGTTGAGCCACTTCCATAGTCCTAAAGACCTGCAAAAAAGTGCAAGTTTTTCTCTTAGCAGAACTATAGGGCTGAATGGCCTTTTCCCATCCTGTTTTCTCTACTCAGGAGGGGTAAATCAGTTGCTCATTTCCTGTTTATAGTTTAGATTTTCATTCAATTTATCTTTTATCCTTGAGCTTTGATTTGGAGGGCTATTTGAAGGAAAAATAATACCAAGTTGAAAAAAACCATATAGAAACAGAGACCAAAGCTTTAGTGTACTTTGTTCTGTCTAGGCCTATATATTTCCACACAATTTATCCCTTTAACATTAAAAACTTTAAAATTCTCACAGAGAAAGGAAAAACATAATTAAAATACATAAAGGAGAGGATGCTGAAACGTGGTGAGAGTTAGGAGAAGTGACGGATACTTAAAATGTTTCGAGATGCTTTGTGAAATTAACACGGAACGCAGACATTCAGGAGACCAAGGTTCAGCTGCCACATTTCTGTAGTGGAAGGCAACACCAAAACTGTGTTTTGTACGTTTACAGTGCACGCATTTATTTTTGGTCAAGGTATCTGCTAATCACAGTAGATAATTGAAATAAAATAGTGAATTCAGTACCATTACTATACAAAATACACACATTCTGATTGGCAATCAGAACGATTACATTTCTAACCATTTGAAAAGACACATTAGATGCTTGATTGTAGGATTGTGCAGATTTAAAAGTAGAGGTGGATTGCTTTTTGATATATTTTTGGAGTTCTCAACACTTGATTTTTGGACTCTAGTCTTGAGTCAGTTTTAGGTACTTTTTAAGCCTACACTCAGAAATTATGTTCCTATGTGAATAAATATTTAAATTTTACATCTAAATTTGACCAGACGGTGATTATCGATCATTTGATGCAATTTACAATTCTTATTTTGTATGTTTATCACAAAAAAACCATCTTGTAAAATGCATATGTTAAAAATAACTCACTTAAATTATTTGTCTCAAAATGGTTTTAAGCAAATATGCCAGCTCTTAAACTTGCAAGTTTAGCTTAATGATACAAACTATGTATTTAAATAAACTAGCCATTACACACTCCCTGTAAATATTGATTAATCACCAGCAGCAACCTGCATTTTTTTAAACATAGTAAAACATCTTAAGGTGCTTCGTAGGAGCAAAATCAAACAAAAAAGTTAATACCAGAATACAAAAGCAGATTTTAGGGCAGATAAAAATAGAACTTCAGGAGCAAATGAAAGGAAGAAATAAACTAGAGCGATAATAATTGCTTGAAATGGAACTTGAAGCATACATTGAATAACAAGAATTAGAAATTCAAGCATTAAGTAATAATAAATCTATATTCTTGCCTCTAACTGACTTTTCTTTTTCCATTTTGATACCCCTTGATTTTCATCACTGATGGGCCAATTAAATTTTCTTATAGGTATGGCAGAGAAAATACAGACTATGATATGCTTAAAGAAGAAATCTGCATGCAACAATATTCTGTTTTGTATCCTTTTCAGATCCCACCCGTCTCAATTACCCTTTTAAATCTCTACACCACATATCCTAATACTTTCTGTAATTGTTTAATGTTTGTCTTTGGTTTACAGACACTCACTGCCTTCATAAAGGCAGGTGACGGACAGTCTGATATATCACATCCTGCATTCATGGTGATGCACATGCATTATCTGCCGAGCTGCACAAAACTGGTGGCTGTTTACGCTCTGAAACCATAAAAGGTAATAGAATGAACAGAATTAGATGTAGTGATGATGTTTCCTCGATAGTGCTGCACCAATAGATATCCTACACTTCAAAAACCCATTTCCTCTCTCAACAGCTTGACTGGAGACAAATTGACTTTCTTTCACAAATCACCAGCGCTTTCCTTTTTCCTGAAAGCAAAGTACTTTGTGAAGATGTTTCTGCCAAATTTCTTTGACGCAAATACATTTGATTCACTGGCTATGGTCTATCATAATACTCAGCTCTACTCAGACCAATCTCTTGGTTCATTTCTCATTGAGCTATTCTCATGTTTCATTCTTCCGGTCGTGATGAATGCCCTTAATTACATCCTCAATCACAAACTATAGTTATGAAGCTAT